AACTACAGATTTGTTCAGCTAACTTGGGGAAACTTTAAAAAACTCCACTTAATAATTGTTGCACATCACACAGTTTAACCCCACTTCTGGGAACAAGGGTGTAATATGGTACAACAAGAAGCTGCTACATTGCAAGAGGCAATGAACAAATCCATGACTTCATGCAGAATATGCTGCTCTAAAGTCAAAGGTTACTGCTATAGCATCAAACTGAGCCACTATAATTGATTTTACCAAGGCTTGAGAAGGAATTGTAACAGTTAAACTTGAATCACTACCTTCAACAACCTAAGATTCTTTAGGAAAAAAAGGTTCAAGTTGCGGGAAACATGCTCTTCCAAAAGAAATCACCCACCAGCAAGTATAGTCATTTAGCAGGGTCTGAGAAACAGTATCCAGCCCAAAAAAACACCTGCAAAAGTCAATTTAATTGTTACTATTGCCAGACTTACAACTGCAAACAGTGTATTAACCAGGACATTGTTTGAACAACTTCTCTCCTGCTCAAGTTTTAAAAGTAAGTTTAAAATTTGGAAAGCAGAAATTAAAGAGGCTTCTGTTGTTATATCCGGTAAAACATCACTTTCAAAACTGTCCAATCTGCAAGAAAATACCTCTGGTTTTGCTATTTGCAAACAGACAGGTTCAGCTTCAGAACATGAACCGCAAAGGCATCAGTCATTCACATTTCACACGGCACACCAGGTATTTTCTAAAGAAACCAAGTCATTTCCTGTAACACAACATACACAAACAGATATTTCACACCTAATCAGCAATCAGAGAACAAATACAACGAAACAAGGAGAGGAAGGGCAATCTCAGCCAAATGCTATGATAAAACACTTCCAGGATCCGACCTGCTGTGCAGGAGAGCTCTGGATTCTACAGACTGTTCAAAACCCTCAGAAGGAGCTGCTCTCACACCCTCACACACTGCAGGTCCTGCTATGACAGCTCCTAACACCCCTCCGCCATGACCAAGTGGCAATGCAGCATCATCACACCGTGAAAGCAAGAAGTCATTCAGGACCTCAAAAGTTTATGGTCAAGCAATAACACAGGCAAGGACAGGGCCCTCACGGTGGAAATTCCCATTCTTCTGGACACTCACTGAAGTCCTTTATAGGTAAGTTTAGAGCTATTTGAAACGGGAATGCCCTTCAGTACAAGGCCTGGTGGGTGCCATCAGGCTGCACAGCAAGGCAAGATCCAGCTACGGGATCTTTTCTGTGAAATAATACCATTTTCCAAACAGTGTAAATCCTAGTGGCAAAGGGGGATGTGTGCCATATCAGAGGCATGGGGACAGTAGCACACAAAGATGCTGTTCTCTCCAGATGCACAGAGCAGGAGATGATGCTTGCAGGAATCACTGACAGCCAAACAGAATTCATCTCCTCACCAGGAAGATGTCAATTGACCAAGGAAATTTATGTTCCCTGCTTAAACAAACCACTGCCATATCTACTGTATCTCAGGGATATAATGTTATCAGTAGTTAGCTGCACCTCGGATCAACAGTCTGTAGTAGGAGATTCTTCCAGAAATGTTTAGAGGAGTAGCAAGGATCACGTGGCTTTAGTTCCTTCATTTTATTTTTAGCAGAGAGAGAAATGGCACCAGACACGTCAGTTAATAGACCAAGCACCGGAGGAACTCTCACACAGGCAACACCAACACTTTAAAATGAAAGTACCCTCTCACAGCTGCAGATCAGAACACAACCCAAGCTCATAGTGGACTAATTCTAGAGAGGACTCTGCTGGCCTTCAGTACTTCTAACACAGTGCAAACAGTGTGATTCTGGTAAAGCAAAAACCTTCCAGGAGCCTTAACATACATGCCTCACTTATACCTCACACCCAGCCTCGGTAAGTAGCCATTCTTAGGGATAAAACATCTGGCTCTAAATTTCCCTGTACCTCACTGTCATTACCCGAACACCACACTCCTGCATCGTGGGAATGGACAATAAGGAAGTAATAATAAAAAGCAACATGAGCCTCATGCAAGCCTCTGCACATCCTGAAGCCCCATGGAGGAAACAGCTTGAGAATGCAAAATGTATACACACAAGCAGAAGAGGCCCAGATGTACCTGAATCCAAGAACTCTCCGCTTCCTCGAACGCTCAACTCTGCAAATCAAATTACTCAAAATACTTTGTGCATAGTAACTAAAAACCAACAAACCAAGAAACTGAAGTATTAAGGCATCAGAAGTTACATTAGAAGAGCAAATTTTCCAATACAGTTTTGCAAGAAACAACTCCACCTTGCACCAGTTCTTCAGCATCTAAATTCAAGCAATATCTCCAACCTCCAGGGCTGTACCCACCCTCCCCAGCACCAGGGTCTGGACTCACCTCTCCCTCCAACTCACATAATGCTGCCCAGGGCCTCTGCAACTTGGAAATGCCAGGAGAGCACTACAGACAAACTCACATTAGGATGGTAAAGAACAGAGATATCCAAGAACAACCACCCATTTAAATGTAAAGGGCCATAGCCCAACATGTGCACAAGGCAGCAAGCCAGCAGCTGCCAGCAGTCACTGTATCACCACCTCTGGAAAACAAGACCCAAGAATTGATGCTATCATTTCCTTCTCTACAACACAAAATTTGTCAGGAGCTGCTGGAAACTCCAGACACCCTTAAGGGAAGATTAAGGTGGCACTTAAAATAGTTTTAGTTCAGAATATGCACATCCCTCTTTACAACTGAATGGTACCTGAGCAACCTCCCCTGTTTGGGGAAATGTTTGAGAGCAGCAGGTGCCAGGGCTATTAACAAATCCCCATGAAAAACAATACCTGTCACCCCCCCCTCCTGCCCAGAGGCATTATTTAAATGCTGGTCTTTGCACCTCACTTAAGACTAAACCAAATTCTGGCCCTTCTGCTGCAAGCACTCTTGACATTTCAAAGCAAGTATCTATTCTTACAAGGGGCAGACACAGACATGGGAAATACACACACACACACACTTCCCTCTTGGCAAAACAGGAAGTTTGAGCAGCAGTGGCACACTCGGAGCCATGAGCTTCAAAAATAAAAGCTCTGAGACAGTCATGCTGTAAGGTGGAGCCCCATCAACAAGCAACATAAAGCTGATACCCGTAAAGAGTAGCCCAGCTATGACAAACAGCTGTGCAGAACTCCCACTGATTTGTGATGCTTTTTCTGGAGTGGGTTTTTGTTTTCAGTTTTAGCAAGTTCTCAAAAACCAAAAAATTCCAGTTACCAAACACAGATGAGACTGGAATTAAATGCCTAAATGAAAACATGACCTGAAGAGCAAACCTGGATATTTCAAGCTACTATGTCATGTCAAACAATTAAAAGATTTGAATCGCCTCAGAGGTAACTTGGCACTTGGCCCTGTCTCTTCCCATTCCAAAAGCAATGGGGCTAAAATGAAGGACCACTCAGACAACATGCATTTACTTACTGAAGAAAGAATGCAAGAATTAGGGAAAGCAGGACTGCAGGCTGCCTAAAAAATGCTTTTCTTCTTTGCATTTTTTTTTTAGGACTGCAGCTGTGCTTTGAAATTGCCAGAACAACCCAGCAAGGCTAACTACAGCACACAGGTATGGCAGTTTTACTGAAAAGTCAACCCTCGTTGCATATTCAAATAACAGGCTCTGTCACTAGAATGGTTTTGTCACTCTACCAGCTGCAGTTCAGGTTGTAAAGGCAACTGTTGTGAAAGTACCTCTGCGAGCTTCTGTTTACAAAGTGAGACCCTCCCACAAGTGCATCACCGAGCACATGTCTGCGAGAGATCCCTGCTTTCCTCTACAAAACAATGCTGAAGAGACTCATAAACCTCAGACCCACAGCAGCCTCTGACCACCAGAGACCGAGGGATTCTTCCCAAGGAACGCTGAAGAGTGTAAACTGCTCCACAAACAAATGAAGCTGCGGTCAGCGTTTTCCTAAAATCGCCCCTTGCACGGGCACTCTGTGACAAGGTCTCCCCACCTCCCAGAGCAGACAGCAGGAACACTGAGTGTTCCCGAAGGAACACAGCCCTGCCTCCCAAGCACTGCACGCACCAGCAGGATCTGTCCGGCATCAGTGGCTCTACTGAAATTAGAGAGCAAGATGGTTTCAGTATTAGTCCTATCAAGGGAGCTAATCTTCAAACCCTACATCAATACTTTAAGTCCAGAGTATGCTCCAGCAGGGAACCTTGAGGTTGAAAAACATATTGAGGAAATACACAAGAAAAGCCCAAAACAACCGAAAACTGCAGGAAATATACATATATGGCTGCAAATAAAAGGTTACACTGAGAAACATCTCTTATACTCGGATTCAAAAGCAAATTACACAAAAAAAATTACTGTATGCATCTCCTTTCAGAACTCTTACTACAGTTCCATCGGTTTTTCTTCTTATTAATTATATTATAATTAAAGGAATTTGTGAGTGTAGAGAGAAATTACTTAAAAAAAAAAAAAAAAAAGTCCGCCTGAATAAGAGGCAATGTTTGCTGCCCGTGAGGTCTGTCAGGCCATGACACGGTCTCTCCCCGGCCACCGCCAAGGTCTCAGAGCTCGGGAACCTCAGGCCTGGCCAGACAAAGAGCCTCTGACAGCGTTCAGCCGGAGCGGCAGGAGATGGGAACGCTCCCTCCTGCCCTCCTCATCTGCACTGCGCTCAAAAAAACCCCTTCCAACGGGGAAAAAACTCCACCGAACTCCGCAGCGAGTCGCTGGGCAGAAGGACGATGCCTCTTATTCCTGACGGGAGAAAACGCGGTGGGGGGAGCGCGGGCGGCCGCGCCGGGACACAGGTGCGCGGTGAGCGCGGTGACAGCCGGGCCCGGCCCGGTCCCGGTCCCGGTCCCCTCGCTCGGTAAGATGGCTCCCGTCCTCCGGGCTGCCGGGGCGAGGGAGGCAGCGCGGCCGGCCCGGCCCGGCCCGGCCCTGCCGCACCGCAAAATGGCAGCGGCCGCGGCCCCCCCGCCCGCGCCCCGACGGTGCTTACGAGTTGCAGGGCGGCCGAGGACTCCGGCTGCTCCCCGGGGCCGCCGTCCGGCACGGACTCGGCCGGCTGCAGGCGGCTGTCGGGGCCCCGCTGCGCAGCGGAGCGGCCGCGGCTCCGCGGGCCGGGCTCTGTCGCCGCCTCCTCCTCCTCCTCGTCGTCGTCGTCGTCCTCCTCCTCTTCCTCGTAGTCGTCGTCGTCGTAGTCGTCGTCCTCCTCCTCCTCCTCCGGAGTCTCGGCGCCCTCCTCCTCCTCCTCCAGCGCCTCCTCTCCAGCGTCCCGCAGGAGCAGGGGGAAGGCCCGGGCCCCGCGGGGCACCTCGGCCGCAGGGTCCTGCGCCGCGGGCAGGCGGGGCCCCGGCGAGCCAGGGTCGGGCATGGCCTCAGCGCCGTCGGCGGCACCGCCGAGGTACTCGGCGTTGATCATGGAAGCCAAGTCCTGCAGCCGGCGCAGCGGGATGTAGCAGGACGACGGGTCCTGGCCGTAGCCGGGCTTGGCGGCCGCCAGCTGCATGGCGGGCGGCTCGGGGCCGCGGGCCTCGCCGAAGGGGCCGCCCTTGGGCTCGGCGGCCGACAGCGAGGTGCCGAAGGGGACGAGGCAGCTGCGGCGGCTCACTTCGCAGGCCTGCTCCATGCCGGGCGGCGGGCATCCACCTGCGGGCACAGCACAATGGGGTCAGCCCAGCCTGCACCGCAAAATGGCAGCCGCACCCGGGGGCCGCGTTGGGCTCCGCCGGCCCCGCTCCGCCACCGCCGGATTACAGGCCCCAGGCCGCGGCCCGGCCACCCCGGCTCGGCTCGGCACGGCCGGCGCCGGGGTCGCTCGGCCTGCTGAGCGCTGCCGCAGGGCCGCCGCTCACCTGCGGGTGCCGCGGGCGGCTCGGCGCCTGCCCCCGGAGCGGGCGGATGGGGAGACGCGCCGACCCGGCCCGGCCAGGCCCCGCCGCCGCTCCGCCGCCTCCCTCCTCCTCCCTCCCCCGCATGCGCGCGCCCGACGCCGCCGCCGCCATCCCGCGAGGGCGCGCGCCCGCCCCGCGCGCCCCCGCTCCCGGGGTTCGGCGGCCGCGGCCAATCAGCGCGCGCGCGCCCGCGCGGGCCTGGCCCCCCCCCCTTCCACACCCCCGCTCCGGGAGGGGGAGGTGGGGAGGGGGCGCTCAGTGCTGCCCCCCCCCGGCGCGCCCCGGCCCGGCCCGGCCTGCCCCGCTCCCCGCATCCCCCCACCGGCACCGCGGCCTCGGGGCCGCCGCCCGCACCTCCACCGTAGGCGGCGGCAGGGGGCACCGGGCGGGATGGGACGGGGCGGCCCCGCGGTGTCTCCCCCGCCGCTCCCCCCTCCGCGCCGGGCAGGCCGCGGGCCTGCGAACGGCGGCGGAGCGGTCGCCAACAAAATGGAGTCGGCCAGGCCCTGCGCCCCGGCGGGGCACCCGGGCGGCGCCGGCCCCCGAGCAGCGCTCGGCACCGCTCCCGGCCCCGGTGCCCGCGGGCGGTCGGCGGGGGCGCGTGGCGCGGGTCGGCACCCGCCCCCGCTGGGCTCGGGTTACCCCCTGCCATTGTCCGCCGCGCCCCGCGGGCCGGCCCGGCGCCCCCGCCGCGCTCCCCCGCCGCCCTCCCGCGCACCGGCGGGCCGGGCCGTCGCCCTCCGCGGGGCTGCCGTGCACAGCCGTGGGAGCCTTGCCGAGCCTCGCCGAGCCTCGCCCGCCGGGGAGCGGCGCCGGGTGCCCGCGGCCTGGCTGTCCTCGCCGGGCTCCGCCGCTCCCGGACAGCCGCGCTCCCACCCGCCCTCCCGCCGCCGAGCGGCGCGCACCGGCCCCGCGCCCGCCCGTTCCGCCGGGACGGGCTGCCACCGCCGCCCCCCGCAACCGGCCCGCGGCGGGCGGCGGCTCCGTCGCTACCTCCGATGCGGGCCGGGGTCTCCGCCGCCAGCCGCACGGGTCCGGGCGCCGCGCCGCGCCGCCGCCGCACCGGCACGGCTGGGCAGGCACGGGGCGGGGGGCAGCCGGGGCAGCGCGGGGATGTGGCACCGGGGCGGTGCTGCCCGGGCCGCGCGGGGGGCAGGGCCGGGCTGCCGCCCCCCGGGGTGCCGCCGCGGGCTGCCCGGGCGGACCCGCTCCCCCCGCCCGCCGCTGCCCTTTGTTTCCCCCGCTCCCCACGTCCCGGCCGTGCGGGAGCCCCCGGCCGTGCTGGCGCCGCGCTCCCCCCGCCGGGCTGGGCCCCGGAGCAGCCGCTCTGCACACCCAGGCAGGGAGCGCCCGCTGCCCGGGCCTCGCTGCCCCGCAGGCGCAGGTTTTCCCCGCTGAAACGCTGTCCTGGAGCGGCTGCGGGCTGGCACCTCAGCAGGGCACTGAGGACTTGCCTCTTCTGCCTGTACACCTTGGCAGCCCCACTGAGAGCACCTGGCTTCCTGGTGCTTGCCCAAGCACTCCCTCTGCCCTGTCTGTGGCTGGTGATGGAGCAACCATTTCTCCCAGTATCTGCTCCTGAGGAGCCGCCCCAAGGTCCCCGACCCACTGTCACCCCACTTGGTGTGCTGCTACACAGAGAGGCTGCCATGTTCAGCTCATGCCACTCCAGCACACCCACGGAGGGTGGGGTGACTCGGCAGGAAGCTCATGACATGTTTGTACCTTCGAAGTCCCAGCCTAAGGCTCAGCTGGTGGCACCTGACCTATTTTAGGCCCTTTCCCTCCATGCTCATGTGCCATGGTGACACGTGGGAGCTGGGGCCTCGCTGTGCCCCAGTGCTGAATGAACTTGGCACTGAGCTTCAGCATCCACACAGTTATCTCCACCTTCAGAGAGCTGGGGCATCACCCAGCGTGCCTGGATCCCTTGTTTTACACCTGAATGGGTGAAATACATTGTCCACCTCTCAGAGATCGACTGGTAGCCGCAGCCTGGCACACCTGGGAGAGGGCCCCACAGCCAAGTTTCCTCCCTTCCCATTGGAGCAACCTGCCACGCACGTTTCTGACACGTTCCCAAAATAAAGCTAGTGGTTTATTTATACCCCCCCAGGGGCAGGCAGGGCGTGTGCAGAGCAGGAGCGCCTGGTGTCTTCCCAGAGCTTGGTGTCTGAGGCTCGGTGAGCCACCTGGGGAGATCTTTAGGGCTGTTCCAAGCAGGGCAGCTGTATCCTGGGCACTGACTGTCACCAGCTGCCCTCTTTCTGCTGAAGTGCCCCCTCTTGGAGAGTCAGGGCCACCATCAGGACACGTCCCAGCCTGCTTTCCCCCTGGTCCATGGGCATACGGCACAGCACATCCCGATGGGACCACTTGTGTGCAGGGGCTGTTCTGCTTGGGCAGCGATGCCCAGGCAGCTCTGTGCACCCCGAGGCATGTCCACATCCCGCTGTCCCAGTGGGCCCTGCAGTGATCCACCTGCAGCCATGTGGTTACTGGCGCAGGCAGGAGCAGGGCAGTGGTGACGGGATGCCCTCAGACGCATTTCCCATCTGCTGTGTCACCTCTGCCCGTGGCACGGCCAGCGCTCTTCTCCGGCCCTTCTCTTCCGGCAGAGGAACAGGGAAATGGCATCCCGGCCGCTGCCGCCCGCTCCGCCCGGATGTGCGGCACAGCGGGCAGCGTGGCCGGCCCTGCCGCCTCAGGGCTTTGTCTGCGGGCTGCAGCGGGGAGCGCGGCTGGCGGCGGCCTCCCCACCGCGGCGTTCAGCCCCCCACCCCGCCATCGTGCTCAGCCCAGCCCCGCTCCCGCCGGGGCTCTACGGCCGGTCAGGCCGGTAGCCACGGAACCGCCCGGCACTGCGGGCTCCCTCTGCAGGCCCCGGTGCCCGCGCACGGATGGCGCGGTGCCCCCACGGGAACGGCCCGGTGCCCCCGCGCCCGGCGGGAATGCGCATCCCCGGCTCCCGCCATGGCCGCTCCCCGCCGCCGCCGGGATGCCGGAGGGACCGCGGCCCGCACCGCGGGCTCCCCCCGAGGGAGATGGGGGCGTCACGGCCAGCCGGAGGGGAGCCCCACACCCCAGCGTGGGGGGAGCTGTGGCCATGCGGGCCCCGCGGGAGCCGTGGGCAGGATGGGCTGGTTGCGAGTCACCTCCGGCCGCGGATGTTCGCCGGGGCGGGGCCTGGGGGGGGAGCGCAGACCCCGGGGGCAGCACCGGGATCCTGCACAAAGGGCCGGGGGCGGTGGCTGGAAGCCGCGGCCGTGGGGCTGGATGACGGCCGGGAGCGTGGGCGAAAGGGTTAAGGAGTCGCGGTGGGCAGGGGGAGGGCTGGCCCGGCCAAGGGAGAGGAAGGAAGCAGAGGAGGAGAGGAGCGGAGAGCATCCTGCCCGGAGGGTTTGCCGGGGGCCCCCTTTCCCCCAGGAAGCGGCTTGCGTGGCTTGAAACCGCAGGGATGGAGCGCCGGGAGCAGGGGCGATGGGTGGGGCTCAGCCGGCTCCGTGCCCGCAGGCGCGGCTGCACCGGCCCGGTGTCCCTGGCGCCGGGGCTGCTCCTCCTGCCGGGTGACCTCTGCTTCCCAGGTCCCTCACCTCGCAGTCCCCCTGCCCAGGTGTTTCCATAGCTCCCCAAAACCTTGCGGGGCAGCCCACTGACACACAAGGGCGGTGGGTGCGGGCAGGACGACTGGCACGAGCTGCAGGGGACAGGAGCCATCGCTGCTGAGCAAATCCGCCCGGCGCGGAAGAGCTTTCGCTGCACTGTCACCTGGAGGCCGGTCTCTGCAGCAGCCGTATCCAGCATGGGGATAATCCCGCGGGGCCGAGGCTCAGGGTGCCGGTCTGGGCGCTGCAGCTGCTCTCGGGGACCACGCTGCTTCTCCAGCCCTCAGGTTGCCCCCCATTCTCAGCTTAGGGGTTGCGCAGGGCTCTCAGCCCTGAGCAACGAGGCTGAGCTCACGCTGGGCTTTGATCCATCCATGCAAGATAGAGACAAGTTCGCGAGTGCCCATGAGGTGCCCTCCCCACACTGGTCCTGTCACCCGGACGGATACAAACGGGATACACATTGGGACACAGCGTAGTTCTGCAGCCCAATCCCCTGCCCTGCCCCGCTCCCAGCCCCATCCATCCGTGCGGGTGATGGAGAGCAGAGCCAGGATACATTCCCATGCCGCAGACCGTTTTTCCCAGTCGCTTTTGTCAGCCTTCCAACACAGTGCCGTGCCTGTCCTGCCGCGAAGGCCACTGTCACCAGCCGAAACGCGGGGGGTGTGCGGCGGGGGAGCCGCTCGCCCGTTCCGTTCTGCCCGCCCCGCGCAGCTGCTGCTGCCGGCCGGGAGATGGGGCTGAGAGCCCGCGGCTTCCCGCAGCACCGCGGGGTCTGGGCGGCCGGCGGGAGGCTACGGGCGGGGGGCCCGCAGCATGGGACCACCGCCCTCGCTGGCACCCCCAGCCTGGCCTGTCCGACCGGGGCTGGGGGTCCGCGGTGGCTCTGGAGCATCGGCTCTGCCGCTGTGGGGAGAGGGGATGAGTGAAGAGAGGCGCAGAGGTGTGTGTGCGTGAGTGTGTGTGAGTGTGTGTGGATAGGGATGGTGCTGTGCAAGTGTGTGCGTGGAAGCGGGTGCGTGCGGGTGTGTTGGAGTGCATGGGGTTTTTTGGGGGGAGGTAGTGTGTGTGCTTGGCTGGAAGTGGATGCATGCATGGGGGGTTGTTCCTGGAGGGTGTGCCTGAGCTGTGTGTGCAGGGTG